GATTATTTACTTGGTTTAGCTCATGTCAAGCTTTTAATCGACAACTATTATGACTGTTTAGCTTTGACTGATGTTGAATTGGCATTGGCAATGGGAAAGCAAATTATTATGCCTCAATCATTGTTAAAGAGCCAAGCTGATTTGAAGTCTTATGTTGATGGTGAGATATGCTTGAAGCCTTTGGGAATTGTGTTTGTTGGGAAAAACAAGAAAGGGGAGAATACCAAGTTTTTGTTTCAAGCTTGTGATATGGAAAGGTATACAACTGCTCATTATACGAATCCGGTTGTTCATATGAATAGTTGTAAGAAGAACAATGAAGGAGACAAGGCTGAGCTGAAGAAGATAATCTCTTGATATATTAAAGTTCGAAGGGTTATGCATCAAGCTATTCAAATTTTAATGACTTAGATTCGATATTACTCACAAATGGGGAGAATGTTGAGGTCGAATATTATTGTGAGATGTCGAAGGTTGTCTAGGTCAAGAATAGTTTCGAATGTTTGTTTGTTATATTATAAGGGCACTTTTGTATCGAAGCTTTTATAGTCCAGTCCCTTATATTTTTTGTATGCTTTCCTGATCCATATAAATGTGGGATAAGTACTAGAGTTAGAAAGTAACATTGGTATTCATACTTGTACTCTCTGATTTTCTTTGTAGTCATCGAAAGTGTAATTGAGCCATCCAGATTATATTTAGATCTTGTGTTCATAATTCATTCATTACTCTGATTACATATTATAAACTCGATTAATTCACAACTACAAATTCGGAAAACGTCACAACGGAGGTCACAGGGGCTGTCCGGAGATGACAGAGAGTTGAAAAAGAGAACACATGGAAATAGCGAGCAGTCCGACAACACGGTGGAATCGTCTAGCAGCGGCGGGGACGGTATTCTTCCGGTCAACATTGAGATTACGTTTTCCAATAACCAGAATAAAATTTCTGGGATTTATAATCTTTTCTTAAACTCAAAGTTTGAGTTAAGAACTTGTACATTATTTTAGATTCTTGCTTTTTTATAGATTTTTTAGGAGTATTTTTCCGATAGATTTAGTTTGCTAACGAAATAAGGTTAGATATGATTTTCAGTGATTTTCAGAATTGTTTGGTTATATTTTATCTATTCCGTAATTGATAACTAAATTGTATGGTAGATTGCATATGTATTGTAATTTTAAAACCATTTAAAACTAGGTGTATATATATATATATATATATATATATATATATATATATATATATATATATATATATATATATATATATATATATATATATATATATATGTGATGGGAAGGGCATGGCTACCCGGCGTCTAAGAGCCTCCGCCATTGGTGTTAAGACATCGTCATTGGAATTTCTTCCAAGTTAGACTGTTAACAGATTACTAGTCACAACCAGTGTTACATCAACCTAACTCAAGCTCGTCGGAAACATGTTGCACATCCCCATAAATTTGCTCTCACCAACCGTTGCATCAACCTAGCTCAAGCTCGCCGGAAACATGTCGCACATCCCCATAAATTTGCTCTCGCCAACCATCTCCAAATGGTTACTCGCCGGAAAATGTAACCAAACTCATCAAAAATCATACTCTCTTTCTCTTTTCTTCTCCAACTTCTCACTTGCAGCGTACAACCTTAACCTGAATGTCCTAATTCGAAAACATATATAAATGGATAAATGAGATAGGAATCATATGTCTTTTGAAGCTTTCCACTTTGTTGATCCAAAACAAAACAATGGAGACTGTCGTACGTGATATGTCTGATTAAGAGATAAGGAGACAAACCAAGTTCCAATGTATTTTTTTCTTTTCCAATATGAAAATTGCTAATAACCGTATTCTATTTTCATTTTTTTAGGAGTATGTTTAGAAAATAAACATACCGAAATAAGAAAAAACTCCAGGGTTTGTTATAAAATTACATTTTATCCCGCGAGGTATCTGATAAAAAAAAAGAACATTACTACATACCAAAATAAATAAATAAAAAAACATTACTATATTCCAACACGAGAAGAAATGATTTTATTGAGTTTCATTCAATGTTTTAAAAACTGATTTTTTAGTTGAACCGGTATGATGACTGGTTTCTGGTTTAACCGATTCGACCGTCGAGTCAACCGGTTTCTATATTTTTCATATTTTTTCCTATTTTTCTACATATACATACATATATAAATCAAGAATTTGATGTTTACAAGTTCAAACATTAAAAATATACATAAAAAAATATACATTTAAATAACATATAACCATAAGTTTTAATGTTTTATGTCAGTTTATATATGTCAAAAAGAAAACAAAGTATAATATCGAAATAAAATATAGTTTTAGATGAATACAAACACATTATAAAACTTTATAGCATTTACTGTATGTTTTTATTTAGAGAAAATAAATCGATTTGAGAAAAAAAAGTCACTAAAGTTTATTATGTAAATTGTTCAGTTTCTTATATTTTTATTCAATTTAACCGGTTCAATCAGTTTATTTTGACTGGATAACCGGGTTTTTCTAAAAACCGATCGGTTCAATCACTATTCTCATCTAAAATGCGGTGAACATGGATTGAAAACATGACCTTCAGATCTTCAATCTGACGCTCTCCCAACTGAGCTATCCCCGCACTGGTTTCACTTTTTTCTAACATATTATTACTATGATATGTATGTACCGTAATTACTGAATGTTATTTAAAATGTGGAGTGGAGTGGTTTTTTTTTTAAATTAAAGTTGGTCATGTCACGGGGGCCACTTCCCTACGTCCTCGGAATCCCATTTTCCATGTCTATAGTTACTAAATAAACCACCTTCATGCATTCCTCCTAGCAGCAGCAACAACAACAAGGATCGAGATGGATAATCAAATATTCAAATTCCATGAGCTCAGCAACCCACAACCGCACTTAAGCAACTTAATTTACCTTTTCTACATCCATAACTACTCCTCAACAACTCACCTTTGTATATTTTTTTTTTTCTTTTCAATCTCTCTAGCTATATACTTGTAGATATCCATACACCACAAGAATCCAATCGTAATCTAATTGACATGTAAGAAGAACACACCAACTAATCTTGTTTCTTGCATTCCTTTTAAATCCGAACAACCATATTCCATGCATACATACATACCACGCTTCTCCTGTCATTAATTAACCTCTTTTTCTCTCTCTCTCTCTCTCTCTTTCTCTCTCTCTCTCTCTCTCTCTCTCTCTCTCTCTCTATATATATATATATATATATATATATATATATATATATATATATATATATATATATATATATATATATATATATATATATATATATATATATATATATATATATTGCAACGAGTAGTTTTTGATTTAGATAGTAGCGGAGCCAGTTATCACATGATCGATCCCGACATCATCAATCACCATGGATTTCAATGGTTTTGGCATTTGGGTTGGTTTCTCATTCCTGATTTATGGTGTTAATCAAGTGAAGAGTAGTTATATCACTTGGGACGATATCAAGATAGAGGAATACTATCACTACAAGGAAACAGAGAGCTTAAGTTTTGGGGATGGGAATGGGAGTAAAGTGATCGTGGTTGATCAAAATGGTAAGGGTCATGCCCTTACTGTACAAGCTGCTGTTGATATGGTCCCTTTCAACAATTCCATCAGGGTCAAGATCTACATTCTTCCTGGTACTTACAGGTATGCAAATTAAGCAACATTAATTCATTCATTGTTAATTTATGGATCACTCAAGTGAATGTGATGTGATGGAGATGCATGGTGCAGAGAAAAAGTGATTGTTCCACCTTCCAAGCCATATATCTCTTTGATTGGAGATGAAAAGAAGGCTTCAAAAACGATATTGCGTTGGAATGACAAAGCCTCTGATAAATACAAAGATGGTTCTGAACTCGGAACGTATAGAACCGCTTCGGTTGATGTCCAGTCTGATTACTTTTGTGCTTCGGGGATCACCATTCAGGTATTGTACAATGTACATGCATGATGATTAATGTATGTACTATGTAGTAGTATATATCGATCAACAATGCAATGCATGCAGAATACAGTTGTTGCAGTAGCAGGAGGGTATAAGCAGCAAGCAGTAGCATTGAGGCTTGCAGGGGACAAGGCGGTGCTTTATAGAGTAAGGATATTGGGGACCCAAGACACTCTATTGGACTCCAATGGATCTCATTACTTTTACCAGTGTTACATACAAGGATCCATCGATTTCATCTTTGGCGAATCTAGATCGCTCTATAGGGTGGGTAAACGTGTGTGTGTGTATATACATAATATGAAACTCGCATTCATTCATTAATCATGCTATTAACTGATGTATGCAGGAATGTAATCTGCATTCTGTTGCTGATAAATATGGAGCCATTGCAGCTCATCACAGGAACTCAGAAGAAGAGGACACTGGATTTTCTTTTCTGAATTGTTCAATAACCGGAAGCAGAGGAGGGAAAATCTACTTGGGGAGAGCCTGGGGAAATTATTCAAGGGTGGTCTACTCCTACTGTGATATCGACAACATCATAGAGCCTTCCGGCTGGAGCGACTGGAACCACCCATGGAGACAAAGGTATCCATCCCTCCCACACTTTCATTATCATTATTATATATATATATAAAGAAAACAAAGTGATTTATTTGAATGTTGATGGATGTATTTGTGTTCCTAGGACGGCTGTGTTTGGAGAATACGAGTGCAGAGGAAAAGGTGCATACAGAAAGAACCGGGTATCATGGTCCAAGTCATTGGCACATGTAGAAGCAATGCCATTTCTTGATACAAACTTCATTGGTGGACATGAGTGGTTGAGACTCTAATCTATCTATACAAGTACAAGACTAGAAGAGAATCAGAGCTCAAGGAGAGGAGAGGCATATCTAATTCTCATGAGTCATGAGAAGAAGAACCAGGCAGGCATACAGAATTCATGAATGAGAGTGCCATGATTTAAATTGGTGGATCGGGATGACGAGAGACCCGAGCTTAAGCATGAGCGAATACAACACAGTCAACAGCAACAACCCAAAAGATAAAATACAAAACATCAAAATGAAATTAGCATCAAGAGATGGATGCTTGTTCTCTTTACATGTTGTGAACAAAACAAGTTAGACATCATATTCTTCGAGTCCATTGCTTGTCAAATCATTAGAAAAACAATTCTAAATTTGTGTACGTTTGCTTGTTTGTTTTAAGTACCCACATTTGGTGATGGGGTAGCTATGGGTTGGCCATAAGAATATCTCCACTGCCCACACGCCCCACATTTCTCTAGTGTCACATTGTTTTCCAGTGTACAAAACTTGCATGACCATGTCTTATATTTGTCTTCAACAGATTTCGGTCTGTGGGTTCCACACAGCTCACACACTGGAGCCAAAACCTAAATCATAATCAAATCAAACATGTCTTATAAATATAACAGATTAACGCCAAAAACTGAACAAGAAGGATTTAAAACAGTTCTTACTGGATTCAGCAATGTGCATATCATACACTCCCACCCAGAGGAGGACCTGTGGATATCATTATCACGTCCTCCTGTAGAGGCACTGCTCGTTAAATCAATACAAGTTTTCTCAAGATCATCATATTCATATTCATGGCGACTTCGTTTATTACTTTTAGCTGGTGATGTCAAGTCAACAAAGCATGATTCTGAAGGAGGACCTCCTCTCTGATGAGTCTTGGCACTAGAAAAAGAGGTCACATTTTGTTGCACCTGTGCACTACTTTCTTCCTCCTCAATTACTTCCTCTAGACCAACACCATATATCATCTTGCAATCTCCTTTCTGCAGCCATTGCAGCGGCTTGTGTAGGTGTTAGGGCAGACATAATAGATTTATCACCACCAACACGTTTAGGACCTGATGGTCCCTGGCGTGCTCTGTTTTCTGCAGCAGGTCTGAGAGATGAGAGAGGAGGTTGATGAGAGAAGCCACCTAAGCGTCTACCTGGTAGATCAAACCCATCTCCAGAACCTAATATTCCCTTACTCATCAGCTCCTCACATTCCTACATATATGTATAGCATCACCACAAGAGAACAAGCTTTGAATTGATCACACAACAAATAACCATGTAAAATGATGGAGATGTAAATACCTTTCTGAGCTCATCCCAGAGTTTGTAGAAACCGGCATTATGAGGGCCAATGGTATTATGACACAGCTCATGTAACATTGTATCAAGAACATGATCAAAAGGGTAAAAATCCCAATCTGTATTTGGCTTTCGAAGTCTCAGCTTCACATGAAGACCATGTCCCACGTTCAACCCCAGAAGTCGTGGGTTTTTTGGACTACAAAAAACATACATCTTCAATTACTAAACTAATCTTAAGCCAGCTTATAGTTGCTTACAAATTTAAGTTTCATTCAATCTCTTATCATTCCCAGCAACTATATGATCATCCTACTGTTTTAGAGTGGAGTCATCATTTTGTTATAACCACATACAGGGGAAACACAGAAATTATCGGGACAAAATAGATTACCAACTTATAAAATACATATACTGACAAATTTAAGGATTTAAAATCCTAATGAAGAAGAAGAAGAAGGAAGAGGATACAACATCTCGGATAGAACTTTAACCCTCCATTTATGCTTGCGCATGATGGGTTGGACCTGTTTAGCGATTTTCTCAAGGAATCTCCTAGCCTCATCTCCTCCAACCTTCCTCTTCAACGTTCTGATCTCCCAAATATTGTGAAGATCGTTAACATTCATCGTAAACCCAACCCTAAATCCGAAATCTGAAAGTGAGCCAGATATTCAGATAATTCCAAATCCGATCGTGTAAAGATAATTGAATCAAACAGGCTTCAATGAGGAACCTCAAAGGGTTCAAAATCAAAACACCCCCTAGTCCCAAAACCCCTTTGTCATTCCCTCCGATTTTGTACCAAAAATTACTTTCAAAAGCTATGTACTAAAAAAAAAAAAAAAAAAAAAAAAAAAAAAAAAAAAAAAAATTGAAACCTTTACCATTTTCTGAAGAATAAAATGACAAAAACTCATCAATGGTCATTGTGGTTTTTCAAAATCTGTAATACAATCCATAAGTTTAAAAAATCTCGTAGATGGCCCATGTGGACTTAAGGATCTCAGTGGGATCAAATTAGAACGGAAATAGTTGTCCTGACCCCGCCCCCCAAATAAGTTGTACCCTCGCCACCAAAATCCACCATTTATATAGCCTCGATCCTGCCTCGAAACACATTCAACATTGCTAAAAAGTTCACAGCTAACATCACAGACACATCAAACACACAAAGACAGTGAAATGGTACAAAGATTGAGATTATTGATTTAGAAATCGGAATAAACATAGTATCAACTCAGAAATCAGAAAACTTCAGTGAAATGGAACAAAGATTAAAATTATTGATTCAGAAATCAAAAAAGTTTAGTGAAATGGAACGAATATTGAGATTATTGAAAACTTAACAAGCAAAACAAAGGATAAATTACCGGTCGAAGTCGAGCACAGTACACGAAGTCGAAGTCTCAAAGACACAGTCAAGCAGACGGTTGCTTGTTGTCAACAAAGCTGATGACGGGAAATGAGAAATCTACGATTTTGATTTTTGGCGTTGGGTCTGTGGGAGAAGTCGCTAACAGTCGTATGCTGTGAAGTGGAAAGTCAATATTGAGATTATCAACTCAAAAATCAGAAAACTTCAGTGAAATGGAACAAAGATTGAGATTATTGATTCAGAAATCAAATTTTTTTAGTGAAATGGAACAAAGATTGAGATTATTGAAAACTTAACAAGCAAAACAGAGGATAAATTACCGGTCTAATTCAAGCACAGTACACAAAGTCGAAGTCTCGAAGACACAGTCGATTACTCGATTACACGAAGGTCTCAATGAAGATCGGTGGAAGGCGTCGACAGGCGAAAGGCAACCAGCAGACGGCTTCTTGTGATCAACAAAGCTAAGGACGGGAAATGAGAAATCTACAATTTTGATATTTGGCGATGGGTCTGTGGTAGAAGTCGCTAACAGTCGTATGCTGTGAAGTGGAAACTCAAGAAACCTAAAATAAAAAAAAAAAAGAGTATTTTCTATATGTATTTATAAATTATATATATATTATATCAATATGCAAATGGGGCTCGCGCGGAAATGTGGGACGGAAATACTAACTCCTGGACTCGATCCCGAAAATAAAATGGGGGTTAATCCCGTCTCTGCCCCGCTCCTGCTCCCAAATTTTTTAAAAAATTAATATTGTACAATATCGGGGTCCTACGGAAGTTTTTGACATTGATTCATATAGTTTCAAAACTTTTAACAAATAGTCTCTTATCCATATAAAAAGGCTTATTTACCATTTTTAATAAATTTTTGATATTATTTATTGAAATCTATTTTTTTAAAAGAAAAAGAAAATAAATCTCTCTCTCTCTCTCTATCTCTCTCTCTCTCTCTCTCTCCCACATTCCCCTAAATTTCTTCCATTCACTACCACATTCCCCTAAACTTCTTCCATTCACTAAATTAAGAACCTGCAACTTCTTTAAATTGGAGAAATTGATCATGGATAAGTCCAATAATCAAATTCCTTTCAATGTCATTCACTTCAAGACTCTTTAACCCCTCATATTTCATTAGGCAACTCACCGGTATTCTTAAAATGAATTGCAAAGCCTTAAGTTCCAAGATCTTCCCAATTACATTTGACAATTTCCCATCCAAAACTTTTCCTTTTTTTTAGCAGAAGAACAATCCCTTTTAAGGTTAAAATGGTGATTACTCAAACAATAACTCAAATAAACAAAATTACCTCCTAGTATCGTCAGCTTAGAAATCCTATCATGTGTGTTTCATGTGATTGCAAAACAAGAATAGTAATCAGGGTTTGTAGATTTCTAGCTTGAAATCATGTTATGAGGGTCGGTTCTAGACTTTTGATTTCTACTCATCAGATATATGGGTTGTTTTCGAAGGTTTGAAAACCCATCAAAGATTATAGTAGCGGTGGTCGTTGTTGGTTGCAGTAGTGGTTGTAGTGACGAAGAACATGAATTAGACGGTGGCGACGTCGATTTTGCTAACCCCCGAAATAAAATAAAAGAATACCTGTGGATGAGAATATGAAGATTAACCTTTAAGATCAAAACCACAACACAAAAAGGGGGCTGGAAATTTGGATTTTCGAGTGTATCTGATCCCAAAGATGTTGGTGCCAGTATGATCACCGATGTGTTTTTTTCCGGTGCTTTGGTTGTGACATCCCCAATTTTACGGCCAGAAAAGACCGGTTTGGTTTATACTGTATTTAAAAATCAGAGTAACCTTTTAATAAAAGAATTGCGGAATTTGTCCCAAAACAATAATATGATAAAGATTTATCAAAAGCATTTCCTTAGAAATGTATTTCATTAAAAGACTTGGGATGTCATGTTCGATACAGTACATAAGTATAAACAATACAATATAAACCTTACTACATTATTTCATATTTACAGGCCTATATTCGTAATCCCTCATCCCAACACATCACAACTATGCTCGAGCGCCACTACCTGTAATACATAAAACTGAGTGGGTCAGGCTTGGGAGCCTGGTGAGCATATAGGGTTTTCAACCCACAAATAATAATAAATTTATTAACTTCATCGATCAACAATGAATTTATTAATTTCATCAAACCAACAATAACCCTGATTACCCATTCTCGTTATCCTCACTTTACGTCCCTAAACACCTATACAAGTGACCTAGTCTAAGGATTTTATCATCGGGATGGACACTACTACTAAGGGGGTTCCTCAACAATAAATGTCCTAAAGGCAACCATGAGGGGGATGGAGTACACCGGTGAACACATCGTTCACAACACCTACAGGTTGCGAGCCCGCCAGCGTTCCACTGGACTGTCTAGAAGAGTCTGTGGTCGTCATCTATACTCCGCTAGATGACTGGAACAACAACAACATCGAGGCCTCTTATCATTTTAACACACATCAACTATTTCGTCTACCCATGTTTTACCCAACATATTTGTTGTCACAATCAGGAATTTTGTGCCTTGTAACTACAACACTTACGTCAAATTATGAATCAAAAACATAAGAGCATATATGATGCTTACTCTATGACAAAAAAAATTCAATCAAACACCCCATGCAAACAATTCAAATAGTTTTTAAGCAATTGGAAACCCTAGAAGTTTCTTGCTTAAGTCCATTTTTGGACTAGGACTTCCTTATTGGGCCCAAAGGACCAATAAGCTTCCAATTTGGCCATCTTGGGCTTAGATCTCTTAAATGGGCTCTAATTGGACCCACTTCCATTTAATTTAATATTTTGGGCCATATTGGGCCTAGAACAAAATAGATTAATTATATGACCCTTTTTGGACCATAATTAACCTAATCTAGCCTAATAAAGCATAAAAAAAAAATCACATTTATATTTTTTAGGGCCAAAAATCATCCAATCTAACTATAACATGGGCTTAAGGGCAAAAAGCCCAAAAACCTCCTCTCACCCTTCCTATTCTCGGCCCAAGCCCAAGAGAAAAAGGAGTTGACTTTATGAGTGACATCTCACAATTGTTCATGGGACATCCATGCATGAAAACTCAAACATCCATGCACTCACATACTTCCAAGTCTAGCCACTCTTTTTCTCCCTCTCTCTCTCTCTCTTGCTCTCGGCCAAGTTCAATCTCTCTCACATACATACACATTTCACTCACTTTTCTCTCAAGAAAACTCTCTCATATCTCCTCCATATTTTCGAGATCTAAGAAGGATTCAAGGGGATTCTTACACAAATTCTTCATCTAAGGTAAGATAAAGTTTGGATCTATGATACAGGTTCTTTTTTTTTTTTATCAAAATCTCCTTCTAATCCATGTAAAAATCATGATCACTCTCTTAGAGACCCTCTAAGTTCGAGATCTTCCAAGGAGGGGTACTAAGGCCGAATTTTCTTCTCATTTTCTTCCAAAAACCGAAACCACACCCAAAGGTGAGCTTCATACCCCTTATTTTCTTTTTTTATAAGTTTTTGTGGGGGAGAATACAAGCAAATGTGTAGATCTAAGAGTTCATGTATGTCTTGTGTGATTTTATGCATGTATGTATGATTTTTATGTGTTATGTGATGATTATGTTGGCTAAAAATACCTAAAAACCGAGATATACAACATGAAGGATGAAATAAACATAACTTATACCATTTTACACTAATCAAGTCAATAAAAATGATTTAGTTGGTTAGGATGAACATTTTGTACACAAAACCCATTTTTTTGGGCTCAAAATGTCAAAAATACAAAACTAAGGGGGCCAAAACGACAAAACATAATTTTTGGAGGTTGAAACAAGTCCAAACAGTTTTTAAGATAATTTTTCTGAATAAAAACACTTTGGAGGGGCTTAAAATGTGAATTTTAAACCTAATGGGCTAAAAATGGGCTTTTCGGCCCAATAAGCCACAAATTGCAAAAATTCGGAAATAGAGGGGCTGAAACTGCACATTTCTGAAAAACAGGGGATTACTAGTGTAATAAAACTATTTCAAGGGAAAAATGTTATCAAATTAAAAAGGGACCAAAAATGCAAAAAATTTCCATTTTGGGCCAAAATTGTAAAAGTTGCGAAAATGGGGGTTTTAACCGAAAAAATTTCATTTTTGAGGGACTTAAGTTGTCTGTCAAGTAAATTTTGGATGAAAATGTCTTTTCAACAAGTTTTGATACTAAAGTGTCAAGAACAATGGGTTAAGGACTAAAATGGAAATTCTTTTATATAAAGGGTTATGGACTAAAATGGAAATTCTTTTATATAAAGGGTTAAAAGTATAAATTTTATCCAAAAAGGGGCATCAAAAAGAAAAACTCTAATGTTTAAAACAATAAATCCCTTAAGATAAAAATTCGAGTACCACGGCTACCGACAAAACATAATAGCAAATACACCTTCAACACTAAAAATCGTTACCAAACGAATTGATTCAGTCTCGAATCAATAACAAATCAAAAATCAATAAACAATGATACTTCAATACACATGCGGAAATTTACGAGAAGTCAATACACCATCTTTGGGCCCGAAAGTTTCAAATCGTGCTTGTTGGGCCTAGCTAGCCCAATGGCATGATCTTTAGGCCTGAAGGAAACGCGCTTACATGTTGTTGGGCCTTATATGACCTAATTTCGTGTAAAAGGACTTTCAATAGCTTTTTGTGCTGTTGGGCCCCAAGGGTCCTTTGGTACTGCTAGCAAAGTCGAGAAGTCAAATGCGAGTCGGGCTAAGGCTCTTCGCATTCACGATAGCCTTGAACAACTTATGGAAATAACGGGGGCTTCACACCCTCCTTTCTCCTCGGTTGTGGGGTTATGAGAAGTCGGGGTGGTTGGATTAAGTGAGTAGTACGGACGACGCCTAAGGGATCGTTTGTAAAGTTGTAAACTAGTCATTTTCATTAATGCATGCTTATAATGACTCACAACCCATAATCAATCCAATGTCACCTGGAACTATAGAATACAACGTCGTATCGGAATAATACTAAGCCACGTAATTTGATGTATTAGGAAAACATCGGGTTTTCCTAGGGAATTCAACACTTTCACCTATGAGATGCATACAAAGTCTAACAATTATTCACATTTACAGAAATCAACAAGCATACTTACGGATCTTCACACTTTTTCTTACTTACAATATTCTTTTAAGAAAATATCGGATTTTCTGGTGGTTTTTTTTTCAAAATAATACAAATCATTACTTTTCAAACATTACTTATGAACTCACCAACATTTCATATGTTGACGTTTTTTCCAAAATACTTGTATTCTCAGGTAACAGGTAAATCGAAGAAAATGTATCCAGTGATATCATGATGTTTTGTTTAATTAATATTGAACGGTTTATGTTTTGGAATTGTAATGTTTAAAAACAATGTATTGAATGTAAACACTGATGGTTGTAATATTTCAATGCATGGTGACGAATGATGTTATGATTCATGTATATTCATTGTGATGGTATTCAATTGAGTCACAATAGCCCTCGGACGTTTCCGCCGTCTGGTTCGGGGGTGTGACAGGTTGGTATCAGAGCTCTGTTTATAGTGAACTAGCATATCTAACCACACATTGATATGCAACTATAAACCAAAAGAGGGACTAACACAACTCTGAACAAAACAAGTAAAACACAACAATAAAACACCCTTGCTTGCATTAAGAATAAGAACATAACGCCGAACCAAACAAGATGAAGCTAGTATCCCGGTTAATTCAGGACTGTTCTTAGTTGTATCAAGGAGTGGATATAGCCTGATCAACTACATTCTCTCCAAGGTATAACTAACACACGTTCTAATGAGATCATGATAGCTAGGGAACCTAAAAATATACCCCTTTAGCACCAAAAAGAGAACGCCTGCTTAGTCTGTACAATAGTTGAAGCATCCTAGGAATAATGTTAGCATATTTACACACTCTCGCAAACAGCATGGCTAGTTTCCATCACCCTGGAGATCCTTACTTCCCTAACCAGGGAAATACCGGATGGTTGGATGAGGAGCCTGAGGAAGACCCCGAAGAGGAATCTGACGGGGAACCGGAGGCAGGAGTCGAGGGCGAGCCT